GGATCTAAACGCAGCAGTAGACTTTAATACAGATTCAGAACAGACACTTGTGGTACGCACATTCAAACATACATTCAATAACTGACCATGAACAAGAGCAGACAGGATTTAAATACACAGAGGGGATCAGGGAACAAGACACAGCTGGGGCAAATCAGAACAACGAGCGGGACCATACAACCTAACAAGACAACACACCTGAAACAAGGGACCTAATAATGACATGACTATGATAACAGACTACAATTAACAAGGCAAAAACTGAATAAAAGACCAAAGACAGAGAAACCACAAACCAGAAACATGACAAAATGAATAACACCGTAACATTATCCCCCCCTTCCATAAGGCGTGTCCCCGCGCCGAATAAACATCAAATAGGGGCGGGAGGGTGGGCGCAAGGCCGGGGCGGAGCAGGACGAGGCGAAGGCCAGGGTGGAGCATGGCGTGGTGAAGGCCAGGGTGGAGCATGGCGTGGCGAAGACCAGGGTGGAGCATGGCGTGGCAAAGGCCAGGGTGGAGCATGGCGTGGCAAAGGCCAGGGCGGAGCACGATGAGATGGTGGCCAGGTCGGAGCAGACTCAGACGAGGGTGAGGACCATGTCGGTGTCGTCTCCATGGCCCTCACAGAGTACCTTCTGCCCCCCCCCCAAAAATACTTGGGGAACCTCCAGGTGGTAAATGGGTTCCGGGCAGGCCTCCCGGAGCTTGAAGGGCGCAGGCAGGACGAGGCGCAGAGGCGGGGCCGGCAGGGCGAGGCGCAGAGGCGGGACCGGCAGGGCGAGGCGCCGAGGCGGGGCCGGCAGGGCGAGGCGCAGAGGCGGGGCCGGCAGGGCGAGGAGTCTGGGAACGCCCTTCGGAGCCTGGCGAGGCAAACGAGACCTCCTTCTCCTCCTGCGACGACGCGTCACTGGGCTTGACTCACTTGACTCGGTAGACTCGGTAGACTCACTTGACTCGGTAGACTCACTTGACTCGGTAGACTCACTTGACTCGGTAGACTCACTTGACTCGGTAGACTCACTTGACTCGGTAGACTCACTTGACTCGGTAGACTCGGTAGACTCGGTAGACTCGGTAGACTCACTTGACTCGGTAGACTCGGTAGACTCACTTGACTCAGTAGACTCGGTAGACTCAGTAGACTCACTTGACTCAGTAGACTCGGTAGACTCGGTAGACTCGGTAGACTCACTTGACTCAGTAGACTCAGTAGACTCAGTAGACTCACTTGACTCAGTAGACTCGGTAGACTCACTTGACTCAGTAGACTCGGTAGACTCACTTGACTCAGTAGACTCAGTAGACTCAGTAGACTCAGTAGACTCACTTGACTCGGTAGACTCGGTAAACTCACTTGACTCGGAACTTGATTCACTTGACTCGGAACTTGATTCACTTGACTCGGAACTTGATTGACTTGACTCGGAACTTGATTCACTTGACTCGGCGGCACTTGACTCGCTTGACTCGGCGGCAATTGACTCGCTTGACTCGGGAAGCGCGGTCTCACTTGACTCGGCGGCACTTGACTCACTTGACTCGGGTTCGTCGAGGCTGAAGCGACGTGCGGGTTCGGAAGACAGAAGCTCAGCCTCAGGCATGTCGATCTCGGCAGGAAGAAGCTCAGGCATGTCGTGGAAAGCGGGCTCGACACGGTTCACGTGAAGCGCAGGCTTGTGGAGCGTGGTCTCGGCTGAGCAGCTGAAGTGAAGCGCGGGCGCGACCGGGCTGACGTTAAGCGCAGGCTCTCGCAGCTTCTCCTCCACGCCCACAGTAAACGGGGAACCGCTCCACAACAGGGCCAGGTCAACGTACCATTCTAAAGATCCGTGAGGACCAGGTTCGGGCATCAGAGACCGGAGTGGTTCCGATAATCCTCCGCGGAAGAAGATCTTCAGGCCGTGGGTGTTCATTTGAAGTCGGATCTAAACGCAGCAGTAGACTTTAATACAGATTCAGAACAGACACTCGTGGTACGCACATTCAAACATACATTCAATAACTGACCATGAACAAGAGCAGACAGGATTTAAATACACAGAGGGGATCAGGGAACAAGACACAGCTGGGGCAAATCAGAACAACGAGCAGGACCATACAACCTAACAAGACAACACACCTGAAACAAGGGACCTAATAATGACATGACTATGATTACAGACTACAATTAACAAGGCAAAAACTGAATAAAAGACCAAAGACAGAGAAACCACAAACCAGAAACATGACAAAATGAATAACACCGTAACACCCGGCGCATGCGATTCTTTATGTCATCATTGTACCTTCATACATGGTCCGCCGAATCAGCGTTTGATTGACAGGGACCAAATTTGCCAAGATGAATAACAGCTGTGTAAGACATGTAAAGACAGTTATGTCAAAAGGTTCTGGAGATCAATGATGTGCTATGTAGGATATTTTGTTAATATTAAGTCATTGAAGAAAAAAGATATGGTCTGTTTTATAAAAATGTTAACCTCATAGAGGAGCATCGGTCAGAAACCTAAAATTTTGAAGCAGCCTTTATGGGAAGACCAGATGTGGTGGTATTGGACCCCACATTGGTCTAAAACGGGGGACTGAAGGGGGTGGATTGGGATCCACTGCAGCTTCAATGTATTTGTAATTATTATAATTATTTGTAGTTATTATAATCAAGGTATTAATCAATATTTTTCCTTCTAAATCAAATCAAATGAGTGGAATGACTTTGGAGATTCTACTGTGTTATAGAAGTTACCAGTGTGACTACTGAAATATTCTACCCTTACCTTACGGAAAGAAAAAGGAAAGAAACAACAAAATAGTTATTTTTAAAGGTTCTCTAAGCGATCCTGTGATTTCACTTCTTGTTGATGGTCGAACTCTTGTCAAACAAAACGGAGGCTAGCTAGACCCTCCCTCCTCCTCATCCGCTCACTAACCCCCCAAACCACACCCCCAAACCCTTCTTGTCGGTCATTGGCTGGAACAGTTTGTTATGTTTCGTGGTGCGGGTTAGCCCAGTTTGTTTTTGTTGCTGTTTGTGTAGCCTGGGCTGTCTGCAGAGACCGCGTTTTTTTTACAGTGTGTTCAGGGGACAGGCAGCCAGCGGATAGTGAGGAGATGTTTGCTGTATGTGACAAAAAAAGTTTTGGCCAAAAAAACGCGTGACATCGCTTAGAGCACCTTTAACTAGTCTATTGCCTCATAGACAGTAAAAGATTGCCTGTGAGCTTCTCCTCCTGTCTATATGGTAATTTCTCTATTGTGCGACAGAAAGTCGCGTGGTTATGACGCAATCGTTAGCCTATTTTTTACAAAAACGGCTTCTACGGGGCCATAACGTAAGATACAAAGTAATGGAGCCTTTTATAAAATTGTCGTGTTTCTTTGGAAATAAATAATGGACAAATGAAGTCTTTGGACGCCTCAGATGTAAAGTTATTCGCTGTCAAAGTGACGCCAAAATGAATGGGAGTCAATGGAATGCTAACAGCAGGTGATGGTCTGCTACAATGACGGCCCCCGCGAGGCTTCAGTTTCCGGCTGATGGATTACCCCCTTGACCTATACATATCTATGCACTAACAAACAGTCCAATCAATAACTGATCAAAGTTCAGGGCTGAGGGAAACAGAGAAATCCAAAATAACCTATATAGAAAAGAGCAGGCAAATAATCAAAAGAACCAGGAGATGGTAATGAACAAGTGGGAAGTGGTAGACAACAACCAGGGCACTCCAGCTGGTGATCATGTTACCCTGTATGTAATTAAACAGGTTAATCCCAGATATTAACATACACTGGACAAAAGTATTGGGACACCTGACTATTACACCAACAGGGACTGTAATGACATCACATTCTAAATACATAGACATTAATATGGAGTTTTTCCCACCTTTGCAGCTATAGCAGTTTCCACTCTTCTGGTAAGGCTTTCCACAAGATGTTGGAGTGTTTCTAAGAGTTTTTTCCCTACAAAGTTGGAGACAGTGTCCGAAATGTCTTGATGAAGCATTAAAGGGACATTGTGTAGGAATTTCTCCCATCTAGCGGTGAAATTGTATTTTGCATTCAAACGAATTGTGCTCTCCAGCGTCTCGCTTTTTCCAACGCGTGTTGCATCTACGGTAGCTGTTATGTACCAAAAAGCTATGCCAGGATGTCTTCTAATAGCACTTTGTCGAGTTTTCCTTCGGGTGAAAAGGTTTGTTATTTCAAACAAACTGCAACTTGACACAACGAACACACGAATGTTACAGTATGAATAATAACAGTGCAATGCAGCCTTTTAAACTTGCCGGGGCTGTGACAAGCGCCTCTCACTGCTCTGCTCCTCCGTTTCTGCTGCTTTCAGTCACGTGACGCTGGCTCTGAACGAAAATGCATTGTGGAAATGCGTTGGCCTATACTTTTTGACCCTCTCTGCTATTATAGTTTTTCAAGATGGCGGAACTACATGGAAGCCTCCGTGGACCTACCCGTCATATGTATATAAAGATAATAAAATTATTCGTTTACGAGGATAAGACATATTTATGAATAAATATATTGATTTTAGATAATAAAATACCTAAAAAACTACACATAGTCCCTTTAAGGCTTCCCTTCACTGGAAGTAAGGGGTCTTTTCACAAATCTTTGTAAATGCAGTCTGCATGGTGCTTGATTTTATACACCTGTGGCAATGGGTCTGAAAAAAACACCTAAATTCAATAATTAAGAGGTTTGTCCCAATACTTTTGACCTTAATGTGTATTTTGTTTAAGAGAAAGCAGCAGTCAAGAAAAGCAGCAAACAAATTCAAACTACATAAAAACACTCAATGAAGAGTGTGATTGCATTAACCTATATTAAAGTGCATGAGGGAAGCAGAGAAGCGCAAGTTCATGACATCTGCAGTAACCGAATGAAGTTCATTCACACCAGTAAGAGTACACTTCCACAAGAGTTAAATCAAGTACGCGAGTCCAGTCAATCACAAAAGTATTTTTATGCTTTAAGTCATGAGCAGATGAAGGTGTTTGGTGTCCTGCTGTACGGTAGGTGATGGTGGTCCAGGTATCTCCTGTCATCTTCTGCATCAGAGTCTGAAAAGAAATCAAACAAACCATCACAGATCATCACAGAATGTGAATGCGTTAATACAGTATTGGGTGACAGGGTAACATAGGGAACTAAGAAGTGAATTCAATGAAAACAAATCAAAACCAAAACAGGAAAACAAACATGATACATTCAACGACTGACAAGAACAAAGGAAACACAAGGGCTATACATAGTATACACAAGGAGTAACAAGCTAACAAGACACATCTGGGACAATCAGAACAATCAACAGGGAATAGGGCCTATTACAAAGGACTGCCAAACTGGCACTCGGAACAGGAAGTAACACAAAAAGTCCTAACAAGACATATAAAAGATATGACATTTATTATCTGTGACGTCTGCAGGAATAGATATGAAGTAATTTGAATCTCACCTCAACATCATCGTAGTCTGTATCATCACTCTGTTTGACACCTGAGAGGTCAGAATATGGACGTTTACTGCACAGATTACAGGTTTGTGTGGAAACATATTTCTTTGCATTTGATTGCTGTCAGATGTTTGATTTCTCTCATCTATCAGACTGACAGCTTACACGTTTAATATTGACCAGAGTTCTGGATTCACTACACAGCTCTTAGTAATGATAAAAGGGCACATTTATTTGAATAGTTTCTGCAGAAGTTATAACACATTCTCATTTCCCCTCGTCGCATTTGGAAACTTAGTCAGGACCCCTTGGAGTCACTTTTTAAGGTACAGGTTCCCCTTTAGTGCATTTTTCAATGTTCAGGGTATTCTACTGCTTTCAGTAAGAAACCTTCGGTGTCAATACACAGACACGATAGACATGGTTTTGCAATAAATACCTGGTTAGGTTTAGAGTTATATAATTATTAATCTCATTTTTGGCTTTGTAATAATCAAGCATGTCTTGTTTGCTCTTAAACCTTTGTTTCAAAGAAACTATTTCAGTTATAAATGTGAGATTTCAGTATTTCTGTGATGGACATACCTTTATTATTCTTGCAGCAACAGTAAAGGACCAAACTAGAAAACACTATAACTCCTACAACCATCACTGTAATGATCAAAATATGACCAAATGGTGAACTATGCCGGATTGCTCTTCTTTCATTCTCTAAAAAGCAAAAGATGAAGAACAGCATTAATCAGCTTATAGTAAACTATACAGTCACTTAATTATATGTAATATTTAACATAAGTATTAGTATTTAATAACGTGCCAAAAGTAGTATGATTTGTGAGAATAAAGACATGTAGATAATGCTCACTGAATGCACACACACATGTATTTAATATGATTCAATTCAATTCAAATCACTTTTTTCATCCCCAAGGGGCAATTTAAATGACACAAGGAATAGCATATATTCAACTACACACAGTACATCATTAATAAAACATAAATAAATAGATAAAAAATAAAAATAAAAGTGGATAGGATGAGTACATCAGTCTATGGCATGTTTAGCGCAGTTCAAAGATTTGGGGGGCAGATGGTGACTTGGAGTTTAGTAGCAGGACAGCCCTGGGGACAAAGGTCACCTTCCTCCTCTTGGTCCTACACACTTGACAGCGAAGTCTGCGCCTTGAGGGTATAGCCACTCAAACGTAGAATACATAGCATGTGATGGATCACGAATGATCCTACAGGCAGTCTTCAAGGTTCGCTGTTCACATAAGATGGGCAGAGCTCTCAGGGTGTGTCCAATAATTCTGGAACACACTTTAACAATTCGATGTAAACAGTTTCTATTTTGAAGATTAATAGAGTAAAACCAACAAGTAAAAGAAAATGTTATCACTTTCAATAAATGAGTAGTAAAATATGGTTAAAATGTCCTTGTTTACATCAAATGATTTCAATTTCCTGAGCAAGTATTGCCGCTGATGGCATATCTTCAGAATTTTCTCTGTTAGACGAAAACTTCAGCTGGTTATCAAGAATAGTCCTAAGGTATTTATACTCCCCTACGAGCTCTACCAGCTTTCCCTGGATAATAGTAGTGACTGCCTCAGACAGCTGTCTCTGCTTTGGTGAAAAGGTCAACTGAGCAAGCGACGTCTGTGGACATACAAAACAGGTTGATATCACGTCCGTCCGTCCAGGCCATAATCTGAACGTCCATTGACATCCAGAATTAGTTGATTAATGACAATGAGAAATTATGTCCAATCTGGCTATAATCTAAACGTCCACTGACAGCCAGAACTAGTTGAGAAAAGACGTTCATACTGGCTATAATCTGAACGTCCGGTGACATCCAGAATTAGTCGATGAATGACTTAAAAAAATAGGTCCAATCTGGCCATAATCTAAACGTCCACTGACAGCCAGAACTAGTTGAGAAAAGACGTTCATACTGACTATAATCTGGACGTCCGTTGACATCCAGAAATAGTCCATAAATGACGTGAATAAAGATATCCAATCTGGCCATTATCTTAATGTCCACTGACAGCCAGAACTAGTTGAGAAAAGACGTTCATACTGACTATAATCTGGACGTCCGTTGACATCCAGAAATGGTCCATAAATGACGTGAATAAAGATGTCCAATCTGGCCATTATCTAAACGTCCACTGACAGCCAGAACTAGTTGAGAAAAGACATTCATACTGACTATAATCTGGACGTCCGTTGACATCCAGAAATGGTCCATAAATGACGTGAATAAAGATGTCCAATCTGGCCATTATCTAAACGTCCACTGACAGCCAGAACTAGTTGAGAAAAGACGTTCATACTGACTATAATCTGGACGTCCGTTGACATCCAGAAATAGTCCAGAAATGACGTGAATAAAGATGTCCAATCTGGCCATTATCTAAACGTCCACTGACAGCCAGAACTAGTTGAGAAAAGACATTCATACTGACTATAATCTGGACGTCCGTTGACATCCAGAAATGGTCCATAAATGACGTGAATAAAGATGTCCAATCTGGCCATTATCTAAACGTCCACTGACAGCCAGAACTAGTTGAGAAAAGACATTCATACAGACTATAATCTGGACGTCCGTTGACATCCAGAAATGGTCCATAAATGACGTGAATAAAGATGTCCAATCTGGCCATTATCTAAACGTCCACTGACAGCCAGAACTAGGTGAGAAAAGACGTTCATACTGACTATAATCTGGACGTCCGTTGACATCCAGAAATGGTCCATAAATGACGTGAATAAAGATGTCCAATCTGGCCACAATCTAAACGTCCACTGACAGCCAGAACTAGTTGAGAAAAGACGTTCATACTGACTATAATCTGGACGTCCGTTGACATCCAGAAATAGTCCATAAATGACGTGAATAAAGATGTCCAATCTGGCCATTATCTAAACGTCCACTGACAGCCAGAACTAGTTGAGAAAAGACATTCATACTGACTATAATCTGGACGTCCGTTGACATCCAGAAATGGTCCATAAATGACGTGAATAAAGATGTCCAATCTGGCCATTATCTAAACGTCCACTGACAGCCAGAACTAGTTGAGAAAAGACGTTCATACTGACTATAATCTGGACGTCCGTTGACATCCAGAAACAGTCAATAAATTACGTAAATAAAAGATGTCCAATCTGGCCATTATCTAAACGTCCACTGACAGCCAGAACTAGTTCAGAACAGATGTTCATACTGCACTGTAAAAAAAATATCCTAATTTTACAGTAAATAACTTCCTATTTTCATCATTGTGGTGGCGTTCATGTGTGTTCAATTCGTAAATACGATCTTTATGACATGTCTTGAATGCATCAATAGCTCTATTTTAGGGACAATCCTTACAAACAATCATTGCTAAAATACATTACAGACTGTCACAGTGAGAAGATCTTTGTCCTTTATCAATGCTAAAGACCTAACCACTGCAGTCAACACCTTGGAGTATCCATGCTGTTAAATAAAAGTCTGTAGACAAGGGTTAAGGTTAGGGTTAACCCCTTAATTTCTAACCCCCGGTTTCACAGACAGGGTTTAGATATAAAGCCAGGATTAGGCCTTAGTTAAATTTGGGCATTCAATTATAGCTTTTAAAAATGTACCTTAGAAGAAAAAAACATTACTGGTGTGCATCTTGAGACAAAACAATGGCACTGACATAAGATATGTCAGTATAGCCTACAAGTTGCTTTCAGGTAATACAGCTCAAACGTGCATTTTAGTCTGGACTACAGGAGGAGAACTCCGGCGCAAAATGAACCTCGGGTGTAATAACACATTGGTACAGACTAAATCGTTCCCTGAGATTTGTTTTCATGATAATCGAATGTAAAGAGTTTTATCTCTAAAAACAGTTTAGCTTATAACGCTAGTATATTGGGCATCGAGTAAGCAAAAAGAGATCGCTAGTTAATACCATTAACAAGGCTCAAATTAGCCCCACACTAACACGGCAGCATAATGAGTGTCCTTACATGCAAACCGAAGCATTGAGAACTTTGTAAGTGTATAGACAGTTTAATAAGAAGATACTTTACACAGACAGTACAGTTAGCGCATACAGACAGCAGCCATCTTGGAAAACAGTCTCGCATAAGAGAAGCACTTAACGCAACAGAGAAAATAAAAAAATAAATATAATTTATCTTATCTTCAATATCTACACGTACTGTTCGCTCACTCTCGTGGTTCGATTGGTCGAGACTGTTTTCCAAGATGGCTCCTGTCTGTATGCGCTAACTGTACTGTCTGTGTAAAGTATCTTCTTATTAAACTGTCTATACACTTACAAAGTTCTCAATGCTTCGGTTTGCATGTAAGGACACTCATTATGCACTGTTCTGATAAATTGCTGTTTATCAGAACAGTGATAAATAAATGTTATTATATATGGTATACAAGTTACTGTTTAATCTTTCATTTTTTATCTTTCATTTTTTATCTTTCATTTTTAATCATGCACTGCAATGAAAACACATTTAAACAATTGATTAAATATAACAGCCAGCCTACAAATACAACTAAATAGCACGTGTATATTTTTTTCCTATTCTTTCTTTTAAAACATTTCATATTGTCCTGTTATTGCAATGTTTTCACACTATTGGCTGTCTCTCCGAGTTGTTTTGAGCATGATTGGTTATTCTGACTGTCATCCAGGAATCTGGCCAATGACAACTATGCGCGCCTTTACCAGTCAAGTTTGAATACGTCAGTTGAAGTGAGTGGGTGTCTGTGCTCCTGCTCGGGACCTACTTCGGTTTTGTGGCTTTTACATTGTTTAAAACATGGATTATTTTACATCGGACTGCTAAATGTTTATTTTGAGCGAGTTGCGGGATGTAAATGAAGAACAAACAAGGAATATGGACAACGAACAATGGACATATTGCAATCTACGGAAGGTAACGTAAATAACTTTTTATTTTATACAAATTCTAATACATCAAAATATAGTGTATTAAATTGAGAATCTAAACGCGATTAGAGAAATATTGATAT